GTGCGTAAGGTGCTGAGAGAATATTGTGCACATAGAAGACGGGCTGAGGGTCAGTTGACGACTTTTATAAGCGTTTGAGGTCAGTGGGGAGCGTTGGATGGAGGGCCAGTCGTGTCATGTCCAATCGTCGATGCTGAACAGGAACCGATGTTGGTAGGGAAACCGCAGTGGGAGGCGATAGACCCGGGGCTATGGTTAAAGCATCTACCACGTGGTGACGAGAGAACGGTACAGGACTTAGACGTTCCTAGATGAGTTCTTATGGCGATGCACGTGTGGTGTGACTTCCGGTGAACGTTTATAAGCAGTTGTGATATAGTAACTATTGAGTAACTTTCAGCCGTTTAAGAAAAGGAAATTATCTTTTTGAAGTATATATAATTATTAACTAATAATATTTGAGCTTTTTCGTAATATTATTTTAAGGAGGCTGGGGGGTCAACAAATTAACCACAAATTAACCACCAGATTTAACTTAATTTTTTAGATATGATATCTTAAGCTGTCAACTATCATTTGGCAAAGAAAAATTTCAAAAATTTTAGTTTTAAAATTTGATCATTTTCTATATCTTCATATGGAGCTCTTCTTCTAAAGGAGATCAATATAGTCTAAAAATGGCCACAACCCCCCAGCCTCTTTAAGTCAATTTTGGTGAATTTTTCATTTGATATAATATCTGATACTTACTGAATCAGAATTGTAGAAGTTAATATTGAATTAATGTAAAGTATCGAAATTGGTGAAAACTGAATTAACAGTTTACTATCACTTTTATTTCATTTTCGGTGTGTGAGCTTGTATGTAAGAGTGAGTGAGTGACATAGAATTTATTTGTTTTTTATTTTATCTATTTTGTGTTAATAAATTTATTTGTTTATTCTGATTGATATTGTTTTCCTTCTCGACTCTACAAAATCCAAAAAGAACTCATTACAGTCCACAATATTTGTTTCATATTTGGGTGTTTTACCAAGACGATAATGGCCAACTAACCAAAAACTGCATGACAAACGAAATGACTTCAACTTTTCCATGAAAATTGTAGAAAACGAATAGTTATCATGTTGAAGGGTTTAATTAAACAATACAGATTGTGAGCAGAGCAAACTTTTACAACATCAGAGGTGGGATCAGATGCCATGGAGGACTTAGCTTTCCCTATCGAAAGGTTACACCCACCACGTGTCCTTTGTCATGATCGTGTAAATGGAGAAATACACAGTCAATTCAGTATGAAAAAAAATGGCTCATCAGTTTGTATGAAAGACATTAGTCAACCAACCTAACGACAGATTGTTCTTTTAAACAAATTCATTGTATCGACCATAGAATTTGCAAAATGTTGACTGTACATGAGATCTTTGATACTCTTATATCATAAACTTGTATGTTCATACATGTACATATAACATGCTCTTGTGTATCGAATCACCAGGGAGACACAAACCCGACAAATGTAAGTTTGTAGATGCATATGACAATGAGAAGTTAAGAAAATTCGCTTGCTTCATTCTTATTAAAGAAGCAGTTGTCTATGATATCAAATAGTCGGGGGGCGGGGGGGTTATCACGGGGACTTGTTGTATAAAGTGTTGAAAAATCAACTTAAATTTCTTATTCATTTACTTTTATTTAACTATCACCTGCTTATACTGTTTAAGTATCCAAACGTATTCGATACGCAACAGCATGCTTTGAGAGGAAGGGTACTGGCAAATAAAGATATGTCTAGGAATTTCAACAACCTCGTTTAAAGTCAGCATTTCGAAAATTTTATATGAGCGTTATAATGTCATAGTTTGCAAATACAATCTATCATTGGGTTATATATATTATTACTTATATTTTTTCAAACCCATTGTTAGGCCATTGCTTAGTACTAAAATACTCCGTCTACCTGATCAATACAAAGAGCCCGTGGCGGGTTTGACTGAACGACAGGGAATGCTTACTGCTCTTAGGCATCAGATTCAATCTCTGGAGTTTCCAGGGGTGCGTGTTTTATGTCTTGTTCACAAATTTGTATTGTTTTGAGAATTTTGAGGTCATTCACTGTTTGTTATTTCCACCTTTTTCATTTTGGCTGAAAATTACGTATACCAGTATATTTTGTAAAGAAAATTCAGTCGGTTGATCTAACCCGTGCCTCAACTTACAAACTATCGAAGAAAGGGCTACTTTTTTCAATTATTTCATTTCATAGAGAAAGATGACCAAATTTCAGATCTATAGTAATTTAATTAGACCATATGCCCTTGTCATTTCATATGTATTGGCAGTCGTAGGACATTAAATTTTTTTGTATAATGTATTAATGAAAAGTAAACGAGAAAAGGTTGAAATTATTGAATAACGATACAAAAAAAATGAAGTGTCATTTTTTTAACTGTGGGGTGTATTAAGTTTGGGGAGTCTTAATTATACACAAGGGCTAAAGGTGTTGTTTAAAGTTAAAGTAGCTCTCAATTTTCAATCTGGATATAGTATTTACTAAGTACGAATTTTATTTTCCCTTTTTGTTAAGTTTTGTAGATTTTCCTTTCACTGGTATATAAAAACACTAGTATTGCCTATGGCGAATATACATGTAAGCGAAACGTTCACTATATATAAGTGAAAAATAGTACAATATTGATTGCATATTTAAGCCTTCTTTGTGCATATTAGAAATGAACTGAAATAATGTGATTTTTGCCATAGGTCTTTAGAAAATTCAAGACCTTCCTTTCTAAAGTGCCACATGTTTAGTACAAATTGACCATTTGAACATGTATCAGTATTCATGTTAATCGAAAGAATGAAAATATATTCAGTGAACAGCTCAAAGAAAAAACAGTTTTAGTTTTTTTTGTTTTAATTGGGGTGGGTGTGGGGTTAGGGTAGGGGCAATTGAACAAAAATTCATTGACAAGCAAAAAGACGAAAGAAAGGTCAACAGACTGAAGGTTTTTAGCTTTGTTGTTTCCTATTGTATACTATATGATCGCATGTATTAAAGGAAACAGCCATCCCTCCCCCCCCCCCTCCCCTCCCCTGGTTACTATGGACATGGTGAAATATAAATATATACACATGTTATATACATGAGTAATTTTTGAATCAATTAATCTTTATTTTAAATGTCAATTTAATTTATATCTGTTTTTGTGTTGTTGAATTTTGACCCGGTTTTATGATCAAAATTCAACGATCCGGTGTAAAGACGAATAATGACCCCCATAGAATAATGACCATATTGCCCGTAGAAAAAGTGTCATCACCCTAAAAACCTGCATACCCCACGTGAAGAAAAATGACCCCCGTAGAATAATGACCCCTTGTGAACTAAAGCGGATTTAAGTTGAAACTTTTAGGGGGCAAAAAAAAAAATAAATCAAGAGACCTATTGGCCAAAATGCTCACTTGGGCTTCATTGGGAATAAATCGATGATATATTGATCTCATTACATTATACAATCATTGCTGTTTTTAAGGTCAATTCAATGATTCAGAATCTAGTGAAGTTAAAGATTTAACGAGTCCAAAGTGCGAGGAGAGCATTGTTTTTCGATAGTAGAAAATCACTGATCGTCCTGACAGAAAAAAACAGCAATAATTGTTTTATTATATGATTCAACGATTAAATTGATACAAACTGATTAAGCAGACATGTCAAGTTTCTTGTTTACATTTGCTCAAGTCCTAACCAAACACCGTGAAAGAATAGGAGTTAACATAAGCGTAACCAGTATTACTTTTGTATTTGAAATCTAGTTTTGGTGCAATGTAGAAAAAATAAATGTCATGCATAGCATCGAAAGGGGAAATGGCGCAATATAAGAGGGAAAAAATACTTTTAGTTAAGGGTTTGGTTTTGTGTTCATCCAAGTGAAACTCGTATGATATAAAAATCTCAATATCTTAATAAATACTTCTTGCTTACTCTTGAAAACTGACCTATGACACCTTCCATGGGAAAGCTGTATTGACATGTATGCAGTTTGGTTGTCACTTGCAGTGTCATGCAGCAATAATGTGCATATTACACCTGCAGGACTGCACAGCTACAGGTCTAACAAAACAATAACATGACATTTGTTGTATATGTGCAGATAGTTGAACGTCATGGGTACAACTATTTGTTAAGTTCCTAACAATTCTGTGCGTACTTTTTCCATAACTGTCTGTTTTTCATCAACTAGGCATGTCCGCCATGCGAAATCTGGGGGCTGCCATTCCGGTATTGAAACCAACTGACTATTTCTGTAATCTGATGTCTCTAGTACATCGATTACACAAAGCAATTAGAGAGATATTTCGTAAAAAATCTCCAGCTATTAGAATGTTTCGATCTAAATGTTTAATATTGTTTATTATAAAAGTAACATCGATGTTTACGTCATATCAGGGAATGCTCCGTCTTCGATTTTACAATGGACAGATAAATTAACAGTTTTAGCAGTTCCGACTGAATTTAACGTCTGTTATTTCTTTTGCAGGTAAGGCTATTAATTACCTTTTATCAAATAAGCATATTAATCCTACAAATGTAGGACAATGTCATATAATATTGAAAAATATTGCACGAAAATTAAGAACTATAATCACTTAGCGTAGTTTATTTCTGAGGTCTGTCATGCGATATTCGGCTTAAGTGAAAGTAGGAGCTGGTAAGTCGATTTGTTGTGTTTATTGTGATTTATAAGCCTTATCTCAGAAATACGATATAACTCCTAGTTTCAGTAATACATTTTGAGTATGACAACGCCTGCGATCTGATGCACATCAATTTTAAAAAGGTTAAACGTTATACAAAGGATCTGAGAATTTCCACTTGTTTCTTGCAGACCACAATTTGGTAGCGGGCAATATTTAAGGTTCCTCTAATAAATGTGACTATGTTTCAAAATACTAAAAGTATTCGTCATTGTATAAAAATATAGTTCAGTCAAAAACAGGGTTTCAAATATTACGAGTAGAGTAAAGAACTAAATTTTGTTTTCATTAATGAGCGATTTTTGTGTAAGATCCTTCATTGAGCCTCAGACACACCAAGTTAAATGTCCAATGACGGCTAAGTGAAGTGGCTCTACGTAGTACACATATATGGTAAATCAGATGTGTTTTTTGTAAATCAAAATTTTGATATTCAAATTTTATTGCTTTTTTGTTTTACTTTTTGTAAAAGAGATGCAAGTATTATTAATTATTTATATAAATAATTTTCACATAAGTTTGTACTATGTATACAAATCATCATTTTGGACTTGGTCCTTCTGATTTGCAGATTAGTGCAGTATATGTAGTTCTCATGGGGAAAAGTAAATTAAACGATAAAAAATGTCAAGGATGTCAACTTAATTTGCTTATTGCTTGATATGTAAATTGTTCAATGTTCATCAAATGAAGAGTGCAGCAAAATTGAAAAATAGCTTTTTTTAAAGATGAAAATTGCATAAAGTATTAATGATTAATATTCTCTAGTTGAAATGGTTAAGATTGAAAACTTGAATTTCTGCAACTGCATTGGTTTCATCAAAAAGGGAGTATAAAAAGGGGGTCTTACCTGATCTTAGGTTACCATTGAGCATGCTGAATCAAATGCTACCAAGCATGTTTATTTTTAATTGAATGTTCATTTTATGAAAGTTTTTCATATGCTTAATTAGACTTGGTTGTTGGTTGCACTTGTAAGGAAGAGATAAGGTGCTGGGGGTGGGGTGGGGGGTAAACCTTGGTACTGATCCATAAATACCATAATATTCTTGTAGAAACCTCTAAGATTTTTCTATAAAATTGAAAAAAAAATGAATGTACATGTAGCCACCACTTTATCTCAAAGCTAGGTTATTATTATTATTATTATTTTTTTTTTTTTTTTGGAGGACCTGCATTTTAATGGTACAGGCAAACCTTGTTATTTCTATCCTGATGGGAGCAATAAAAAAAATCAAGAAATATGGTATAGTTTGACACATTGAGGTTAAAATGCTTAAAGAAAAAAATGGAAGAGACTTTCAATGAAATATGAAGATAACAAACAATAATCAAATTCAAATTCACATAATTTCGAGAGATGGAAGCAAAACTCTATTCTTATAATGTCTCATAGAAAAAAAGTTTTATTGGACACAGTTTCAGGAAATAAATACCATTCAGTTAAAACACTGACACCCTTCAACATGTTCAACAAAGATTAATATTGATATCTAGATTTAAAAGAATTGTTTTTGAACTTTTTTTCCAAAAATTTATTATAACTATGTTTACCATCTTTACAGAATGCCTTGTTTCACAAAAAAGAACACTGCTCAGATATTTTCTCTGGACTGTCAATTTCTGCGTTTCATAATCATGTGATACCTGTGTTGGAGCCCTCCCAAAAACCTCCCCTTTAAGGTAAGTTTTATATCCCAATGAAATGATTCTGTAAATTTAATAGACATGTGTATAAGGGTAAAAGGTAGGTGTTATAATCACAGTGAGCTGACTAGTCATTTTCATTTTGTATGATTGGATTCAGATGTTATTCTATGTGTACAGAATGAAAGAATGTACAATTTTTATGATGAGAAATATATATGCGGTTGGATGAAAAGAAAAATTTTGTTTAAGTGAATGTTGTGTATGTGTCCATCACATTGTCTCAAGCCATGGTTGGAGTCCGCCTACAGCTCTCTCCTACCCGAGGCTGCTTGAGCGAATTAAGTATCGTTATCATGAATAATCAAACCTTATGTGTGATGTCACGTTATAACCCAATAAAAGTAATTGTTTATATTGCAGTTGACTTTAACGATAAAAAAACAAATGTTAGGTAAACAGTGACTGAAAAAAGAAGTCACATCAGAGGTTATTTTTAAATAATAGAAAACTTCAATCTCTTTTGGAAGGAACTGTTTCTGATCATCTTCTTGTAGCTTACTAACACACATGTCATCATATCAGGTTTTTAAAATTCTGCCATCAAATCCTTACACTGGCATTTAACCTTCAGATTTTGTACTTGTTTGCTTTATTTCATTATGATCTTATATGCTTGTCTCATCTACTTCCCAAGGCAAGATGACATGACCGTCACTTGGGTTCACCTTCATTGATCTTATTTATGGTTGACCTCTTTGTATACAGATTAGACTCATTTATCTCTATATGGATTAAACTACTCTTATCTACACTAATTGTAAATTAAAATAAGATATATTCAGTCCAACAATCAGTGTTAACCAACATTTACAATGTGACCATCATTGCTGAGGGATGTGTAGCCTTTGACCCTGAAATTTACATGTCTATCTCTGCATGCTTTTTACTTAGTCATGACGTAAAGATTTAACTTTCAATTCAAGTTCCCTCTTTGAGAGTGATCAACAGTATTGTTTTTTTAGTGGTATATTATAAATTATTTATATTTTATATTTTACAGATTTCAAAGTTAAGGAGATCATTCAAATGACAGAGGTTTTGGTCCATGTTGGTTTGTCTCAACAGTTAATCTTTTGGAAATTAAGCAGTGTTGGAGAAAATATCAGCAACATGTGAAGACTGTGATTTAGTTTCATATGATATGACTAAAGAAAGTTAATATTTTTGACTTCATGGTTGTATGAACAAATGCTTTGAACTTTCCAAACATCATTGAAAAAGAACGTATGATGACCAAACAAAAATACATATTTGAACTTTCCACGAGTTTACAATGAAGAACATTTTGGGATCTAAATGATACAGGATATTATAATAGTGTTTTATCTAATTTATTCATATTGTTTAGTGCATTACATGCAAAAAAAATGTTTTAAAGTCACACTTGTGAAACCCATGCTAAGAACACAGGTCTCAAATAGCTTGGAGAGTTATATTAGAGTTATATTGTTAGAATTGAAGCTTATTTATAAAATTATACCTTATATCTTTAAAGAAAGTTTCACAAAAAATAGTCAAACTTGCATATACTGGTTAACATGTTAAAAGAAATATAATATCCTGGAAGTGATTAAGAATAAAAAAAAGTTAATTTATCATCCTTTTCTTTTGTTCTTCTTGGTGATTTTTTTACAATAATCAAAGACATTTTACATTTAAGCTCATCTGAACAGAGGCTCTATTGAACTTTTCTGATCAAAGAGTCTCTGGTGTCTGTCCATCTGTCATCCATAAAAATTAAACCCTAAAATAGGGGTATCAAAGTTTGACATGGGAATAGATAGGAAAAAATTGTCCTTTAATGAACAACAAGGTAATGATTTACTCATAATGTATGCAAGCATCCTCAAGAAGTGAAGATTCAAGTTGGTCAAAATCATTTGCCAGACTTATTATTATGATAATATTAAAATATTCCCCATTTGTATTTTTTTTCATTTTTTTTTTTCTTCAAATAAATCTGAGATCAGATTTTACACATAAATTGGTATATGCATGTATACATGTGAAAAAAAAAACTTTAGAAAACATATAAGCCATGTTAGCCATATTGATAATGAAATATCCTCATGTTGTGGAATCAGTTTTGGATTAGACATGGCCTTATGACCCAGGGTGGGGCCACAATATTAGCTCAAATTTGTTTTTATGAGAATTAAGGGGGATAAGAATGTCTTAGAAATCTGAAGAACATCAAGGTGACTCAAGTGAATGTTGTGGGCTAGGCCTCTTATTTGAATTGCCCACTTTCATTATCCCTGCAGATTTTTAACATCTTATTTGGCATATTTTTTAAGGAGAAAATCATTTTTCTAACATTAATTTCCCTGTGTTTTGTACACACCATAGAGTAATATTTTAGATACATCTGGGCTTTCATATAAAGTGCTATTTTTAGATCAACAGTGAGTCTCTTTAATTCTATTTTTAACACATTGCCATGTGGTTGGGACTACTTTCATGGCTAACATTTTCTTGTTTAACTAACAAGTATGCATTTAAAGAAATGTACCTATTGTAGTGAGTTTACATTTAAATCACAGGTTCTTCACAAATAGTTGTAGCCACTTAATTGGTTTAACTATTTCATATTTTTTTGGATTTTTTAGTGCACTGCTAAAACCTGTGGCTGCGCAGTCCTGCAGGTGTATTGTGCACTCCATAGCTGCAAACTGCTGCAAGTGTCAATTAAGCTGCATATACCCAGAGATTGTTTTCATTATGAAGACCAGTTTTCAAGTGTTAGCAAGGTTTAATTTTTGAGATATTAAGGTTTTTATTTTTAGTGAGTCTCACTTGGCTGCACACAAAACCAAACCCTTAAAAAATATCTTTGATGAACCCCTCAAAAAGTTTATGGATGTAAGTGGTATTTTCTTTTACTCTACTGTATCAAAAAGTTGGGGGTAGGACAACCAGACTTGCAATGACCATTTTCAAGCGAAAAAAAAAATACGTTCATGGAAATGGAAGGGAGTGGACACCCCATCCCTGATTCTATGTGCCTGAATGTTATGTTCATCTTGCTCACTCAAGTAGGAAAGATTTTTTGACTATACTGTATAAGAAAGAGGGGGTGGTTACAAGACTTTCAATGAACATTTTGAAATTAGAAATTGCTAAAATTTACATTCAGAAAAGGGGGAACGATCCCCCCCCCTTCTCCGATTCTTTGTGTCTGAATTTTATGTTCACTAGAGTAGAATTCAGATGCAGGTGAAATAACTTTTAAGAATTGTTTTCAATCTATTTTTAGTTCAAGGTAGGAAAAATAAATCCTTATACATGTATTCATCTTGAAGGTCAATAAAATAATCTGTCTTTATTTATAAATTGAAAACATTAATCTTCTTCAATATACACTGTATTGAAATGTTTTCATATTGATTTGACAAATGTATCACTATTTAAAGTGAATTGAAAAATATTCCTCTTACATGTATGTATCCTATTCTCAGACGACCATGTAAACAGACTTGAATGTACATTTTACTGGGATTCTCCTGTACGTATTACTTCTGTATACTTTAAAAGAAATTCCCATAGCGTAGATCACTGTTTACCTGATTTATTCATAGCGCTCACGGCGGGTGTGACGGGACAACAGGAGATGCTTACTCTTTCTAGGCACCTGATCCAACCTCTGCAATTTTCGGGGGTACTTTTTATGCCCTGTTAACAAAATTGTACTGCTTGTGGATATTTTAAAATCATCACCTTTCGTTATCTTCACCATTTTTTCATTAAGAAATATATATATATCCACAGTATGTCATTCGCACGAGTTATTACGTCATTTTCGATACATTCTACCTCATTTGCACGACTTTTTATGTCATTCAAAATATACATATATCTTACATTGCATAACTTTCCGTATTTATTTCTGAAAACTTATCTCATTCTTTTTTTCCCTTCATTTTAAAAAAAAAGTTGATCCTACTCAAAGCATGCTGATTACTTTGGGAGATATGTTTACCAATGAAAAGCCAGAACATCCCGCATGTCTGTTATTTAGCTATGAATGTCTATAATCAGTCAAATATCCAAATATGAAACAAATTGAAGACAGTCATAAAGGGAAATTACGTAAACAGTTATAACCAATAGTAGCCATTTTGCGATTTTCAATATGTGCTGAAAACACAATAGGCTTAAAAGATAGAAATATGCAGGTGAATGTAATGCGGATTTATTGCATTTTAATTGCGCGTTCGTCCAGTGTTGGTCAAAAACGGCATAAAAAAGGATATCAAACATTGAGGTTCCAACCTTGGTATCAATCACCTGTTATAAATTTTGTATCATGCACTCTGTTGGAAAGGGGGTCATTTTTCAACGGGGGTCAATTTTTCATTGGACTCACACATAAAAAAAAAATGACCCCTAGGTCTCTTTTCTACAAAAAATTAATTTTTTCTACAGCTGGGGGGTCATTTCTTGTCGTTGAAATATGACCCCCCCCCCCCGGTCATTATTCTATGGGGGTCATTATTCGTCTTTACACTGGCTCAATTTTCAACAGGCTAGGGTCTGAATCAACGCTGATGGTCTCAATATTCAACGTTGAAAAAGATTTCCCGGGTCAGTTTTCAACAGGGTATGTGTAAAACACGAAACGAGAAACAAGAAATGAGAAACGAGAAACAACGGAATAAAAAAGTAACTAATGACCTCAAAATGTCAACCAAGAAACATCTTTTGCCTTAATTTCCTTTGTTAGAAAACTAGATGCTGAGTGAAATTAAAACTTTTAACTTAGGTCAGATTTATCAGCGAGCCCGCACAGCTTACTGATATAGTCTTGACAGATTTAATAAGATATCAACAAACTGAAAAGTTCCTGATTTAATAACCGGTAAGACATTTCACCTCATACTAGTATTACTATCTGATTATTACATAGTCAAAGAATAAGCAAAACATTTAATAATATTTTTCAATATAAAAATACATATGTAGTATTAGGAAAGCTATTATTATAACATCGACATTAAATTTCACTTATAATATTACCAGAATTACTAAATCACAAAGATTTTCATGGAATTATGGTAGTAAAAAGCTAATGATCTGTAATAATTGCTTCTCTTTTTTTTTAGACAGAAGTATAGTTAGAGTTCTAACATAGAAATTTGGACCGTTATATAGTACCCAAGCGGAAATACATTCAAGTAGTTTATCACTGAAGGTATCATTTGATGACAAATTTATTATTATAAACAAAACCTGAGTAAGAATTTCTTTCAGGTAATAGTATTGTATTAATTAAATTTTTCAAAAAATTTATATTTTTTTCTGTGTGAGATAGTTGTGCGGGTCGCTGATAAATCTGACTTCAGTTAGATGTTTTCATTTCACTCTACATCTGTTATGTATCAAAATGAAAGCAAAACCGCAAACTGTCCCTCTGTGTTGACATGTTATTGTATGCTGAATCTCATTCCATTGTTTTTCGTTTCGCGTTTCTTGTTTCTCGTTTCGTGTTTTACACATACCTGTTCTCAACACGGGTCAAAATTCAACCTTACACCGGCAGACTGCGCTGGGATATGCGGACTTAGTTGATGGACGAGGGAATGACTGTGTTCAGTCATTTTAGTTGTCCTAAATTCACTATCAAGCCGTCGTTCTAAGTTCATCATGGAAGAATATGCAGATTCTATATACAGTGAAAACATTGATAAGGAAATTTTTTATTGTAATATAATAAAGTATTTTTTCATATTTAGCTATTCAGAAATTATAGTAGCCATTTTAGTAAGAAAGAAATCGAATACGGTGATGTGATTTTGTATCACCCTGTATCACCCTGTATCATAGGTAAAAATAACAAGGAATTTAAAATATTTAGTACGAAGCATTTACCTTGATATTTGTCTGCCATCTTTTCGTGGATAACCTGCAAAATGCCTACCTACAAATTAATGTACTTTCAGGGCAAGGGGCGTGCCGAGGTGATTAGATTGGCCTTTACATTAGCAGGGCAGGTGTTTGAGGACAAAAGATTTACACTAGAAGAATGGCTAAAAGTCAAACCAAGTAAGTACCGTCGTTACCACTGCTTGAATGCCTTTGAATTCAGTTGTTTTACAGTGAACTTGAAGGAGATGAATTTTAACAAAGATACTTGAAAATTGGCTATGCACTTCAATGTCCTGTAAAATATTAATGCACAGTGATACTAGATATTCTAGATCTAATTGTATTTTATGCTATTGCACAAAAAATCTGGTTCCATTTAAAAGCAAAAAAAAAAAAAAAAATGACGGCTTATCGATATCTTAGAATTAATATTGTGGTTATATAATAGTTTTGTGAATTAAATGTACTGTGTTTAAATAGTAGATAGGGTCTGACATGTATCGCAAAAGCCGCAGGCGACTGTGCAATGTGTCAAATTTTGTCTTTTATTAATTATAATATTGATCCATATAGTGAATGGCAAAGACAAAATTTTAAACGTTATCATTATGCAGGCAGTTGTACACGAGATATGTATACAAAATATACAAACATTTAAGCAATCCTTCGTCCCGAAGCTGTTTGCAGATCAAATCTTAATTAGAATTCTTCTTATATATTCCTTTAGTAAACAGTTGCTGTGGTGCAATTGGTAGCACGTACCTTTCGTCATATGAGTTGCAATCCCCTGGGTGAGAAAAGGCATTTAAGCATAGTATCCTTACCCTTACATTATTATGTATGATATGCTTATACATTTTGGTATAAATGATTTGGTATTAGTCACAAACTGAATTGAAACATTTAACAGATTATATCACTATTTATACAAAAGTTTCAAATTTAATATTGGTTCAAAAAGTTTCACGAGCACTATATATTTCGAAAAACAATAATTCCACAAAAACATATACACTGAATGCAAAGTATTTCACTCGATTTGCTTGCGTTGAGGCCCCCTTTGCTTATCAGGGTTATATATATCTTAGTTACTGAATTCTATTCAACGAAACATGAATACATGTTTTGTCCCCAGAGCTGCTTTCAACTCTTTTTTTAATCAGTAACCGAACCTCCTACTTTTCAATAACTCTTTTTTAAATGGGCAAACATGCATGCAGTGCCTCCACCATAAAATACTGAGTTATATGCTAATTAAAACAAAGGTACTAAGCAAATTCTAAAAAAAAATGCCTGTGCGCAACCGTATCTAAATACATTTACATATTGTTTATCATTTTGCTTAGCTCATACTTTTCTTTGAATGCACATTCATTACGATTATAACTGTTCGAGACCTATAATAGGTTTTTGAAAACTTATAGGCTTCCAATATACATATATGTGGTTATGTACATGTATGGATGACATCTTTGGGAAAAGTGTGGAGCCTGGGATTTAAGTATTTCCTTTGCTTTTACTTTGGAATTTATTTTTTGTGAAGCTTCATATATGAAAAGCAATTAATAGTAAAGTCTTTGGAAGGTGCGAGTTCAATTTGTTCGGAAAATCAGATAGAGAGGCACATAAAGAGAAATACTAAAAGATCCAAATGGGTGAAGGTGTAAAAATTTATTCACAAAGATGATAAAATCCAGTGTCTTCAAAACTTAATATTGAAGGTGATTGTAGAAATTCAAAGTACTATAAAGCCTGACGCTCTGATTAATTACTGAAAATTTCAGCCATTTTCTTGTAGATATTTGAAGAAAAGTACAAAGCGTTGCTGATAAAGGTCCGACATAAATTTCCTTGACGAGCAACACTAGAGAAAACCTCCATGCTAAAGAATATATTTACTATTGCTAATAAATGTTTTTCATTATAGAAGAATTATTGTTTTCAAAAACGATTTTTAAAGAATATTCACCCTCCTAACATGGAGCATAACAGGTAAACGTAAAAGGCAGACAGACTGTGCGACTTGTTTTGTGCTTTAAATTGTCGTAAAGATAATGTTACTAGTTTTCTTTATGAAGAAAAAAATTACTTGTAAATTTGAGTATGATGAAGTACACTCTTAAACTGGTCTGCATGAACACAAAAGAATTGCCAATAGGTAGTGTAGAATGAAAACTCAATTTACCTGTAAGGTTGCATGGGGGAAAATCGGGGGAAAATTAATTAAACATATGTCCCTGAGAATGGTCTACAGTATACAAACTGGTACATCATGAATGCAGTTACCAAACATAATATTTTTACTTCTTATGGATTGAAAAAATAAATTTATCATTTACATAATTAATATTCATTCTCTTTTATTAGCTATCCCACAAAATCATTTACCAGGTCTGCAGGTGGATGACAAATACATACCCCAATCTGGCGCCATCTTGAGATATGTTGGGAGAGCCTTTGGTAAGTTTACTTTTTCTATGAATATTAATATTTAGTAAAATAGAATACATTCCTTTTTTATGCGAGCCACCAGAATGCACTTATCAAGTCAGCTGTATTAAGTTCGTACGTATGGCCTTTTGTGTTTGCTTGAAAAATTATTCTGCACTGAGTAATTAATCTAACTGATTTAACAGTATTTTAATACCTATTTTTATTAAAAAATCAAGTAAGATTTTTGTATCTCATTTACAAGATAAACTTCAAAAACAATATTGAATGACAATATTTCAAGATTTTCAGCATAAAGAAATATTCTTAAGGCCAGTAGATTTAATACTGCTCGTCTATTATTTGGCCCCGTGGATTTACAAATTTCGGTTGTCTATAGCTACTATACAGGGGCCCGTTTTACAAAAGAACTTGCGTACTAAAACTAAAATGTAATTCTGCATGTAACTTTCCAAATAAAGTTACATTGAAATGGTTTTTATCTTTTTAAAAGGAATGTAGTCAGACAATTTTACACTAGCAATTTTAAACAGAATCATTTACAATCAACATCAGTATAGTCGTAAGTTCTTTTGTAAAACGGGTCCCAAGACCTCAATTGTATTTCTTTTTTATTATAGGTTTATATGGAGACAATAATGACGAAAGCACACGCATTGACGTCATTATCGGAGCAACTGACGACTTTTTGAAAGACGTCTCTGATGCGGTCTACGAGAAAGACGAAACGAAGAAAGCAGAATTGAAGAAAGATCTAGAAGAAAACAAATTTCCACAATATCTCAATTTAATGGAGGAAATTCTGAAGGAAAATAATGGAGGGGATGGATTCTTCGTGGGAAATAGAGTGAGTTTCTGATAGAGTAAAGTTTTTTTTATAGAATCTTCGCGGATATGTTAAGACGTTCTACTTGCATATACAATATAACCTAAAAGTAAGCTATATGGTGTATTATTTAGAGATAATGATTTCTTAAAATATTATATTTAAAGAATTATTTCAAGTCCTAGAAATGAATCGAAACATGCAAAGCATAATATAAACTATTATAGTTCTTGTAATTTTTGGTTGGTTAAAAAAAACAAAGTAAATTTGTCGCGAAACAAAGTATATTTGTCGCGGGGGTTAAATAATTAACCCATGACGTCATAACTATTGATCAAATATTTGCTGAATGAAAATGAAACGTAACGAGTATTCTTGCAAACAATTACACGAAATGGGAGTTAAAAAGCATTATATTGTGAATAAAAGGTGAGATTCATTTATAAGGAATTAAAGTTTAAGAAAAAGGTACGCTGATTTATTGTTGCCATTTTTTTTAATGAAGAAGGCAGTATTTAGACATCCCGATCAGCCTTTCCTCTGTCTTTCTTAACAAGAAAGACACTACGCCGCATACTTTGAAACATAGTTTTTGTCCATATCGAAAGCTCATGTCCTATAGTACTTGGAGAGTTTTACTAGGATTGTGTGGTAAACAGGAAATAAAAATAAATTCTTCAATAGTATGTGCAAAATGTAAAAATTTTGGTAAGATTTCAAGTGAGGAATAAGTATTTTATTTCTTTGAGAGGAGGGTAGGATTAGGAATGTTTTTAAATAATTATTGAAAAAAGGGAATGAATTATCCCTAAGGTAGTGTTGAACTTTTATGGCAAAATCTGGTTATCAGTTTCGAAAATCCTGGTCCAACCTGGGTTTTACAAATAGTCTTAACTTTTTCACAAAGACATATATACTTTTGTACTTTTAGACGTCACATAATAACCTCGTAGTTGAGTGCTTCTTTCATTCTTAGACTCCTTCATGTTTATGCATATGCAGTGGATAAAAATAGTAAACGTTTTATTTGTGGTTTTTTCTGTTTTTTCAATGTTTCTTTTTACAAAAAAGTGTAGATTTGCCGAATTAAAATTTGTGCGCTGCCTAAACCAACCTGCATTGAACTTACAACCAAATTCAGAGATCCTTGTGACGTTACATATTGTCGTTTTGTACATATTGTCGTCGGCGACAATATGTACCTACCCTCACTGCACATATTGTCGTCCATCGGTACATATTGTCGCCGGATGAAAAGTTACACATGTACATATTGTCGCTGACGACATTTTTTTGCCTCAACCTCACTGTACATTGTCGCCCCAAAATATTGTTGCTTAAAGATATCTTTTGTTGTTTTTGGTAGTTTTGTGAATATAATCGGTGTGTGAATCACACTGACGTGTCTCGTATGCTATTTCATGCAGCGTGATTGTGACGGTACATTTTGTCGTCCTGTTCATATTGTCGCCGGCGACAATGTGTACCTACCCTCACTGCGCATTTTGTCATCCTTAAGAACATGTCGCATGGCAATGCACGACAATGCTCCATATAAATATTATTAATTTTGCTTTCCTGTTTTTGAGAAGATAACTTTCAGAGGAATTTTCCATATATTCCTAGTTAAAACTTTGATCGCCCATTGTGGCTCCATCCCATAGCTCCGGGGTCATGATTTGAAGATACTTGAATGTACACTACTTAAGGATACTTCCATATAAACATCACTTATCACGGGCCTACTGCTGTTCCTACTGCTGGTGGATCCAGATATTTCAAAATGAAGGGGGGGGGGGGGGTTGAGGTTCAGAATTTTCTTGACAATCAAAAGTCATTTGTATGTAAAGGCGTGTTACTGTATATGTTAAGTAAATAATTTAAACTTGAATCCCCTTTATCCACGGATGCTTTGTGGCAGGTTTAGTTGAAACTGACCCAGTAGTTCTTGAGAAGAAGCTGAGGTTGTGAAAAGTTTACAGACAGAGGGACGGTCAGACAAAATGTGATCAGAAAAGCTCACTTGAACTCCCAGTTTAGGTGATCTAAAAATGTCAACCCCAACACCGATTATATCGGCACAAAATTGCATATAAGAATAACGCAAAAAAATAATTTTCAAATAATCAATACTACTGAACAAAAAAAAAAGAATACATGAATTCAATATCCAAGTATATATTACAAGAAAAAAAGAATAGGCTGGTGTATCAGATATCTCAAGAATTACGATATCTTGACATATCATGGTGATGTACATCAATCCTGGACACAATTTCCTGACCAAAAAGTTTTCTCCCTACAGTATTGCAAGTAATGATGTCTGTCTCCCTCCGTGCGTGTGTGTTTGTCAATCTCTCTTTCATTTCTCAAGTTAATATTCGTCAAAACAATATATCGACGACAATATATATCAACCTTGACGTTGTCGTCGGCGACAATATGTGCTGGTGCTTGAATGTACATTTTGTCGTCTATTATGCAGGAGGAAAATAAGGCTCGTTTCCGGCGACAATATGTACCGATGAACGACAGTATGTGCAGTGAGGGTAGGTATATATTGTCGCCGATGACAATATGTACAAAACGACAATATGTACCGTCACAATCCTGCTTTCAGGTTTTGGTGTGTTTTAGGTGCGATGATTTATGGGATATAGGTAATTCTTTTCTCTGTCCTGACGTGTCTGTCCGTTATACATGTACAAAAATTTTATCTATTTATAGCAATATGTTCCTGAATAAAAGTTAAGACAAGATTCAAGTTTTTAAAAGTCTGATATCAATTTTAAGGTCATGAGGTCAAAAATCTTAGTACATTCTGAAAGAATTTGTTAATTTAAAAAAGATATGAAAGTTCCGCACTTACTGGTTCAAAAGTTTTTGCGAAGGTTATTTTTTTTCTAAAAATGTATGTCAGAGTTCAGGTTCAAGGACATACTGTCAGAAATCATTGTCACAGGTAACGCACATGTAAAAATCTGAGACCCAGTCTCTTCAGGTGCAAAAGTTACGTCCTAGGTCGATTTTATTTATTTATTTTATTTTATTGTATTAAAGGTCATGAAGTTAAAAGTCAAAGAACATTTGATCTTGTCACAAGTGATGCGCATGTGAAATATTAAAGCCTTCTGTTCTCTCATTCAAAAATTATCAAAATGTTTTTAAAAAATATTAAAAGTATGTGAAACCTCCAAGGTCGTGAGATAAAAAAAAAAATCATGGTTATTTGAGAAAGCCCTTGTAACAGGTAATGCACCTGTGAAATATGAAAGTATTATCTTCTCACATTGAAAAGTTATGTTCAAGGTAAAAGTTTTTTGTCAGAATCACAGATGGATAGAGGGACAGAATGACAGTTGGATGAAATTTAATGTTCTCGCGTCTTTGCGAAAGCGGGACACAAAATATGTGTGTAATTTGCATGAATGAGCAAATTTCTGAAATTGCAAAGATTGATTACTGTTTTATATGTTAAGGTTTTTTGTCACCCATTATGATTAAAAGTTTTTCTGTCCATCTTGTTTGCATAATTTTGTTTATAGGCGAGTCTCTACACGGAGTTTAATTTTAACATTAAATTCTTTAGTGTGCTAATTTTATTATTTTTTAGGGACGACTATTAAATTCTACCTGAACTGTTTGGTATTTCTTATATTTTAATTGGTTTTCAAGCAGGAATGCTCTAAGATTGTCTTTTTTCGATTTCTTTGGCTAGCCTTACTTTTAATTTAATTTTTTCTTTCTTTTGTCTTTCTTTCATTCTTCATTCACCAGAAGTTTATATTTTATGCTATCTAATGTGTCACTTGCTGACCTTTAAATATTGATGATCCTTTTTATTCACATTTCATTGTCTAATCTTCCTATACCAGTTTACTTATGTAGTATGTAGATTGCTTTTTGGGGGAGGGGGGAGATCTTTTTCAAAATATGTTTATATCATTTTGATTTCATTTGACTGGCCTATTTCTATTCATGAATGGGTTTTAATTGGACTTATTTTATCTACTGTTCCTTTCGTTGATATCTTAATTAAATTTCATTAACAGACCTTTCCCCATCCATAATTTTGTCATGGTGTAGATTTAATTTTTTTTCGTCTATCAATATTTTTTAAATTTTTTTAAAGCTGTCGATTGCTGACCTCAAGGTCTTTGACACAGTCGATCAAGTCGCTAGTTATGCTACACCGCCGCCATTTCCTCCTAAACTTGGGGCTTTTATTGAGAAAGTGAAAAACAATCCAAAAATAAAGGAGTACATCTCCAAACAAGCCTCAAAATAAACAGAAGAAAGAGAAGAGCCATATCACAGTATACAGTGCTTCCAGACATTGAGATGCAGTTCAATAGACATTCTAATGTGATAGGCTAATAAGAAAGATATGCTCAATTTTAGCAGTAATCCTAATTATAGATATATACACTGACTTCTAAGGTTGAAATCCATTAACTGACTTTCTCTCTGTGTTATTCATTGTGTATCTTAATAAACGTATTTTATTTAACAGTTGATTTTATCTTATTGCTCTCGTACAATTTAAAATAGTATTGTTATTTTCTTATAAACATTTGCATGCGCTTTGAAGAGGAACAGAAATGAGGAGATTGTATCAGTGACATGTATTTTTTTTTTTTAAATTTTATAACGTATTAGTAGGAATTCCAAGATTAGAAATCAGAGAAAATTATTTATAATTTATAAATGTATAAAATGAAACTTGAAAAACATTGATGTTCTCAAACACAAGAGTTTGCAAATTCTACAAAAATAAATCTACATTGAATATCGAAGACTAACTTTTGTTTTGGAAAACATCTGTATGGAGTTCAATTTAATTATAAAAAGATATTTTTATAAATTTTTTAATATTTAAAAATATGAGATGTTTATGGACGTTTATTGTGTCGAAGTTAAAAAATGGTTAATTTCAATCATCAAGGAGGAAAACGATTAATATGTATCAAATGAACAATAGTTTCTAATGGTAGAACTTACATGTCGTCTGTAGTAGGGCTTGGGGTAAAAAGCTGAGAGTGGAGTGGAGTGGAATCTTGTGGAGTCATGGAGTGGAGTCTGTATCATAACAGTACAGAAAATTCAGAAAGTTATAAAAACAATTTGATTTCTCTTACATACAATCATTCTCTTGTAACATGGTTTGGGTTAGTGTGAGAAGAATGAAAAAAAGTAAATAATAACCTCTAAATGTCACACAGGGACAAAGAAACAATGTACATAGACAAGTCAATGTTTTGTTGACAGCTTTCATATTAAACTGATAAACAACAATTACTGGTTGAATTTTTTTTTTATGAACTTGAGATTTATTTTTTCTCACTACAAGTTCTCTGACTCAACAACGGAGAATAATCGTTCCTTCAAATAATAATTTTGGTTCTGCTTGTTTTATATAGAAGAAGGCTTTGAGTGGAAAGTCAAGATTATTGAAGCTCCATGCCAATTCCACTTGATAATTATAACGGAAGGTAACGGAATAAATTGAGACTTCTCAGAATAATTGTTTATATATCATATTTATGTATTTATTTATTTATTTATTTATTTATTTGAGCAGAACAAAATCTTTATTCTATTTAAATTTTTTAGAGAAAATGAGACATGCGTGAAGTATCAGATACTTTTTTAAAAAAATGGCAGAGGAGATGTTAGCAAGTACATTCTGCATTGTCGCGATAATTAAAACTGAGTCCCAGGTATTGCTTAATTAACAATGTTTGTTTAATAATACAATTTGATAGGTAACTGCAAAGGATAGATATAGAAAAGACTGTGTGACTTTTGTAACAGATCTAGATATCATAAAGTCTTATATCTTTTGAAGCAGAAAAAGGGTGACCAATTCCTGCGCCACATAGCGTCAACCTAAAATAAAGTCTATCTTTAAACCCTTCCTCGCCACTCCGGTACTTTGTACACAGACTTCAGTAATTCTTTTTGATATCATCAAAGGAAAGTAGAATTGGCACAAACGCAAAATAAAGGACTTGAGGAAAGTTAAGTTGAGAGACCATTGTTAAAGTGACAAAGTGGTCATTAAATACCGAAAGTCCTGTAGCAATTTGTCTTCACACTGAACGTGTTTTTTATCTGTTGACAACCTTGAATAATCAATAAACTTATTAGTTTAATAACAAAATTTAATATCAAGGCTATAAAGTCAGATATAACCGTCAAACTAGTTTTTTTTTTTTTTCATTATGATGATTGATGTAAGACAAAAACACTCCCGTCAAATCAGGTTCACATTAAAATGTTAGTAAAAATTAATTAAATGTTTATTAATATAAATATCAGAAACAAAGTAAGATGAAGTTTATTGTCACAAAGGCACGGTTTGATAACAAAGCTTGTGACATGCAGTTTACCGATATAATTTATATTAACATTATGGATCTGAATTATAACTCCATATTTGTTATTATTTGGTGGACAAGGAATGTGCTCAGTCATTTTATTTGTCCTAAATTCACTATCAAGCCGTCGTTCTAAATCTTCCTCTATCATTTCATCATGTTAGAATATGCAGAATATACAGTAAAGGCATTGATATGGAATATTTTTTTAATTGAAAAATAAGGAAGATTGAGGTATTTTTCATATTTAGTTATTTAGAAATTTCAGTACTTACATTAAAGCCATTTTTTTTTTATATGACACGCATTATTTTATTTAAAGAACGAAAGAGAAAAATCGAAAACGATGATTTTGTACCACCCTGTAGCATAGGTGAAAATACAGAACAAGGAATCAATATATAATACGAAGCATTTATTCAGATATTTGTCTGCTATCATTACGTGGATAACCTCCAAGATGCCTACATACAAATTGATGTACTTTGAGAGCAAGGGGCGTGCCGAGGTAATTAGACTAGCCCTAACAGCTGCAGGACAGGAGTTCGAGGACAAGAGGTTTACAAGAGAAGAATGGCTAAAAGTCAAACCAAGTAAGTACCGTCGTTACCACTGCTTAGATGCTCTTAAATCCAGTTGTTGTTTTTTTACTGTGAACTTGAAGGAGATGAATCTTAAATAAGATATTTGAAATTTTTTATACATAATGATATTGCACGATGATACCAGACATGCTAGATCTAATTGTATTTTATGTTATTGAGCAAATAATTCTTGACCCATTTTGAAGCAACAGAAATTGACGGCTTATCGATATTTTAGATTTAATACTGTGTTTATATAATAGTGTTGTGAATTGTATGTACTATCTTAAATAGTAGTTAGGGTCTGAAATATAGTGGAAAAGCCGCAAGCGATTGTACATGTACAATGTGTCAAATTCTGCATATTACTAATTTTGATCAATATAATAAATGCTAAACACAAAAATATGATTGCAGGTAGTTCTACACAAGATATATATACTAACATTTAATTAAATCCCCGCACCGAAGCTAATTGCAGACAGGAAATCTCGTTTAGAACTTTCTTGTATATCCCTTCAGTAAACGGTTGCTGTGGTACAATCGGCATCACATTTCCTTTGTCCAAAGGGTTGTGATCCCCAGTGTGACAAATTTTCTCTATGAAAGCATTTAAAAGCATAGTATCCTTACCCTTGAAATATTTTGTATAGTATTATACTTGTAGGGTATTTTGGTATTAATAAATTGGTATTAGTGAAAAATTGAATTGAAGCATTTAACAAATTATATCACTAGTTACATGTTTACACGGGTTTTAAATTCAAAATTTAAGTTACACAGACACTTGAGATTTATAAACGATAACGTCGCAAAAAGATGTACACTGACTGCAATATGTAGGCTATCACTTGGTTTGTTTACTTTGGGCTCTCCTTTGATTATCATGTTTATTTATTTTAGTTATTGAATTCACGTCAACGACATATGCATCTAAGTAGATATATCGTCTCCGTAGCTACTTTCAACTCTGATTTTGTCGACACAAAAATGAAAGTGGAGAGATAAACCAACAAAAAGTTTCTAAAACGTTTTGGGGGCTAAGCCCCAATTTTCAGTGCAGATATTATGTCTATCGTTGCAAAAAAAAGTGAGGGCTTAGCCCCCCACCCCCCGCACACCCTCTCCCCGGTTCCGACGGCTATGCATGAACCTTCTACCTCTCAATAACCCTTTTATAAATCGCCAAACGCGCATACATTGTCTCCACCTATATTTGCTAAAGCAACGGAATATTGCTACCTGTGCGCAGCGGTATCTAAATACATGTCATACTTTTTGCATTTTGCTCAATTCACATTTACCCCGAATGCATATTCATTACGATTAACTTTCGAGAACCAAGGTTTTAAAAACTTACATGCTTTCAATAAGTATACAATCATGTATATGTATCGATCAGGCCCGTAGAACACGGGGGGACTTTTTTATGAGTATAGTATTTTGCTATAGTAAAGGACAAGACAGGCTAAGACCCCTTTTTGGCCCCCGGTTCGGGGTGTCCTTTAGAATGATGCAACAGTTTATCAGTAAAAAACCTGTTGTCACCCCTGTCACAAAATGAGTATTGGTTCTAAATTATGGGATACACAGAGGTCACAGGAAGGTCAGAAAATATGTCAATTTCCGAATTTTCTCATTTTTATGCAAATTTCATCGATTTTACAGCACATTTTGGTTTAGAAAACATAGAGCACAAGCTTGCCTATCTACCAAATTTATATATTTCATATACTAGTATCAGATGCAACTTATGTATAAAAATCTCAGATAGGCAAGCTGTGCTCTATGTTTCCTGAAGTGAAATGTATCTCAAATTTGACGAAATTTGACCAGAATTGAGGAAATTCGGGAAAATGTCCTACTTTTGCACCCTTTTGTGGCCTCCGTGTAAGCTTTGAATCAAAATTAGTGCTGGTTTTAAAACAAGCATCGTTTTAAGTTCTTAACTATGAACTATCACAAATTTAACTGTGTTCTGATTTTTCATCAAATAAGGGGGCAGATTGGGCCGTTACCATACCTTGTCCTTTCCTTTAAATACTGCTATAAGGTCTAACACAGTAAATTAGTTTTTTTTTTTTTTTTTTTTTTTTTTTTTTTTTTTTTTTTTTTGCTTGTCAGATAATTTTTGGAAGGTATCCTCCCATCCCCCCCCCCCCATGTGGAGCTTGAGAATTGAGTGTTTCCTTTGCTTTTACTTGGAGTTTTAATTTCTGTGTATCTGCGTTATATGTTTAGCGATTAAAAGTAGAGTTATTGGAAGGTGCGAGTTCAATTGGGAAAACCAGAGACAGAGGGATATGCATGTATGAGGATATATGAAAGGCACAAATGGATGAAGGAATTAAAATTTATTTACTAAGATGATAAAATCCAGTGTCTTCAAAACTGTAATATTGAAGGTAATTGAAGAAATTCTAACTGCTATAAAACCTGACGCTCTGATTAATTACTGAACATTTCAGCCATGTTCTTGTAGATATTGGAGGACAAGTAAAAAGCGCTGCTGATAAAGGCCCGACACAAAATTGCTTGACAAGAAACACTAGGGAAATGTCTATACTAATGAATATATTTACTATTGCTAAACGTTTTTCCTTATAGAAGAAAAAATGTGATATGAAAAAAATATTTTTCAAAAATATTGATTTTATCGATCTAATACTGTATAAGTAGAAATTTTAGCGAGACGGACATTTAGCGATTTATCCCAAAATATTGGTATATATTTTTAGCGAGAGATAATTTTAGCGATTTTATTATATCAAGAGAGATAGCTGTAACAAACGATATGGAATTAATTGTTAGCGATATTAAATTTTAGCGATCTTAGAACCCTAGCTAATAATGCCAAAATTAAATCCTCGCTAAATATTCTGCTTATACGGTATAATGCATAGCAGGTAAACATATATGTACAGGGCAAACCCTTTTGACTTGTTTTTTTAATTGTCGCAAAGATAATTTTTCTAGAATTCTTTATAGGGTAAATACTTACTTGTAAATTTGAAGTATTATCAATGCTCTGCATGAATAAAAAGGAATACAAAAGAATTACCAAAGGGTGGTGTTGAATGAAAACACAATTCATGGATAAAGTTGCATGGGGAAAATCGCGAAAGGAACATGTCCATGAGAATGGAATCGTTGCATACAGCCACCAAAGATATTACTATTATTACTTTTGATGAATTGAAAAAATTAAGTTTATCATTTAAATAATCAATATTCATTCTCTTTTATTAGCTATCCCACAAAACCAATTGCCTTGCCTGCAAGTGGATGACAGACTCATACCCCAATCTGGCGCCATCTTGAGATATGTTGGAAGAGCCTTTGGTTGGTTTACGTTTTATGAATATGGATTTTTAGTAAAATAGAATCATATTATCTTTTAGAATTTAAAACACCAGAATACACATTGCACATTGCAGGTTATGTGTATTAATTTTATCGCTTTTGTTTACCTCATAAATTTCAGAAACAATGTTGAATGCCAATATTTCGAGTTTTTCATAACGACATTCATTATAAAATATGAAGATAACAAACAGTAATGAATCTTAGAAGTCCGTTAGAAAAATACAAATTTGGAGCAGAACAAACACGGACCTTAAAAACCCAAAGAGGTTCGATCACATGCGATGGAGGAGTAAGCATCCTGTCGACTTGTCACACCGGCTGTGTTCTCCTTGTCATTATCGGGCAACGGGAAAATCCGTAGACAATTCAGTGTGAAAATAGTGGCCTAGCAATTTGTATGAAAAACGTCAGTCAATATTCGATTCAAGGACGAATTGTTTTTTTTCTAACATGGTCATTGTATAGAATTAGCGGAATGTTGACCTTAAATGGGATTGTTAATATCCTTGCATCATCAACTTCTTTGTCAATAGCTTGTCTTGTTTTAAAAATTGTGTTTGTACATAGAGCTTCCTCTAGCGTATTGAATTAACTGGGAGACAAATACTAAATTTCAGGTGATAATATGGTATATTGCCATATAAAGAAGGGAAGTTGACGACAGAAAAGTTGGAGTCATCACTTTTATCATAAAGTTTTGATGTCTTTTTATGAATGAAGAAGTATACTAAAATCCAGTTATATCAATACTGCTTCTCCATTATTGGGCCGCCGTGGATTTACAAAATTTGGATCTTATACAGGACTTCAAGTGTATTTCATTTTTTTTATAGGCTTATATGGAGACAATAATGACGAAAGCACACGTATTGACGTCATTCTTGGGGCTACTGATGACTTTTTGAAAAACCTCATTAATGTGTATTATGAGAAAGACGAAACGAAGAAAGAAGAATTGAAGAAAGATCTAGAAGAAAACAAACTGCCACAATATTTCAATTTGATGGAGGAAATTCTGAAGGAAAATAATGGAGGGGATGGGTTCTTTGTAGGAAATAAGGTGAGTTTCCATTACAGTGAGGTTTACTTTTGAATCTTGGACTTAGAAGCAAATGCATAGAATTAATGTGTTCTCCGCAGCCTTGGGAAATAGTTTATGTCTCGGGCGACAAGGTTTCAGGTTTTTAGTTGTTTCTGGTGCAATGATTTATGTCATGTTGCAGCTCTCTGTCTTTCCTGTCTTGTCTGTCCATCACTCAAAAATGTGATATACTTCTGATTTAAAAGGAAAATGTTCTGGTTCAAAAACTAAGGCAATATTAAAGTTTTTATAAGTCCATCTTCGAGAATATAGATCATGTGGTAAAAAATCAGTACATTCTAAAAGGTCTTGTCAAAGGTAATGCATATGTGAAAAAATATGAAAGCTCTGTCCCTCTTGTGCAAAAGTTTCGGTTAAGGATAATTTTAGGTAGGTTGGAGTTCAGGGTCATGGACATGTTGACAGAAATCATAATACAGGAAGATCACAGGTAATGGAAATGTAAAATTATGAAGCACAGTCTCTCCAGGAAGAAAAACTACGTCCTAGGTTTATTATTGTTATTTTTATTTTGTTTTAAAGTACATGTAGGAGAAACTTCAAGTTCAAGGTAATGGGGTTAAAAATCAAAGTACATTCGGAAAGATCTTGTTGCTAGGGATATATATGTGAAATATGAGAGCCCTTTTCCCTATTCAAAGCTATCAACAATATTTGACAAAAAAATAATCAAAAGTGTAACTTGAAGGTCATGAAGTAAACAAAAATCATAGTATGTTGGAAAAGGTAATGAGAGTCTTATCTCCTCATATTCAAAAGTTAAGATCAAGGTTAAAGTTTTTGACATACAGAGGGACTGATGAATGGGATTTAATGTGAAAGTTTCTGTCACCCATTATGATTGGAAAGTTTCCTTCTCTTGGGTGGAAGCTATTAAAATTTACCTGAAACGAGTAATATTCTTTATATTTCGATTGTTTTTAAAGCAAGACTGTCTTAAGATTCTCTTATTTCGATTTCATTGGATGACCCAGCTTTCGATTTATTTTTTTCTTTTGTCTTTCATTTATTCTTCATTCACCGTTTTCATATTCCATGTCATCTAATATTTCATTGGCTGGCCTCCGTTTACCGATGAAGTTTGATTTTGTGTGTGTGTATGGGGGGGGGGGGGCTTCTTTTATTAAATATGTATGTATCATTCTGATTAAATTTGACTGGCATCTTTCTATTCTTAAATACGTTTTAATAAGATGTCATCTTGTCTCTCTGTATCAATCTATTATCAGATTTATATTCTCTGGAATCATTTTAATTCGTGAGGGGCCAATGTTTGTGGATCACTAAAATTGGTTTTGTAAACATATTGATTCCTCGAATCTACAGTTTAAACGAATAACCCACGAAATTACGTATTTTGCTTACCAAAGAACATTGACCCTCAAGAATTAAAATGTTTCCACAGTTTTCATCTGTTTGGCTCTTTTGGTCAATTATTTTAATCAGATTTCATTGACAAGCATTTTCCCATCCATAATTTGACATTTTTACACATTGATTTTCTTATGTCTACCAATTGTTTTTTTTAGATGTCGATTGCTGACCTAATGATCTATGACCTAACCGATCAAGTCGCAAGTTTTGTTACACCCCCGCCACTTCCACCTAAGCTTGGGACTTTGATTGAGAAAGTGAAAAACAATCCAAAAATAAAGGAGTACACCTCAAAACAAGCCTCAAAATAAACAGAAGAGAAGCGTAACCACACAGTATACATTACTTCCAGGTATTGAGATGATTCTGTTCAAGGGAATTCTAATGCGATAGACCAGTGAAAAGATCAGTTCAAGTTAAGAAGCACTTATAATTGTGGAATGTATTAACTGGCTTTCGTGTCTAAGATTGAAGTCTAAAAACTGACTTTATCTCTGCATTATTCAGTGTGTTACTAAATAAATATATTTTATTCAACAGTTGAGTTTATTTGCCATTTGAAAAAGTATTGATTTTTATATAAAATGGTTAGCGTTACCCTGTTCCGTCATTCCATGACTCTCCATTCATTATCTCGGCAACAGTTGCACACATTCAATTCAAATTAGACATATGGATACATCATAGAAATACTCAAGTCAAGTTCTAATTTGGTTGTGTTCCGATGATTTTTGACAGTTATCCCTCTTGAACTAGGGAAAAAAAATCGGTTTCAACTCTCTAACTTCTGTAAGGATGTATGTTTAAGGTTGAAATTACATGTGGAGGTATTTTACCAGAAAATACAGTTCAAGATTGAATTTGGTCGTGGTCCGAGGATTTTTGACAGAATTATCCTTCTTGAACTTAGAAAAAAAGAAGAAATTTTTAGTTTCCCTTTTCATGTATCAAAAATAAAAAAAATAAAAAAACTGCCTTTTCAGGAAGATCACAGGTAACATTTACACACAAATGCACAGATAACTTTTTGACATATTTCCTGCTTTCTCCTCCTTTTCAGAGTTTATTCTGGAGTTTTCCCGAGTACAACACAAAATTGTATCTCTAGTCACTGCTCCCTGACGTTTTTGACGTCATCTTTTGATGCCTATGGAGACAACCCTACATACTGAAATTGATTTCTTTCAATAAAGCATATATTTAGCCACTTTTTGGCATATGAAAAGGATGTAACAATTTTTTACATCCAGGGTATACATTTTGGTCCCTTTTCCCCATTTTTGGCCATAATGCAGAAATTCTGTCCTTAATTTCTAACAGATATCCATATATTTTTATTTCTATTGAGGTTGAGAAAATTATACACGAACTTTTCTTCCTTTAGATTTCATGAACGGAAATTGTAATTTAAAATTTGACTTTAAAAACGTCCATTGAAAAGAATGACGGGTACAACAACCAAGTACTTCAGCCTACAATTAAACAAATTCTAGAAAATAGGATAAAATTGCATTTACCTTGCAACCAAAATATGTTGTGCAACCATTTTATGACCAATGATAGATATCAACCTTACTTGAACAGAATTTATTTGAGGGGAAAAATTAGCGTAAGTCAATGTCGATCACTCATTTGTATTTTTTTTCAATTAAAAACTGCATAATGGAATATTATTGAAACTTTGCATGCATTTCTAAATTATAATGTTCTAAAATCAGTTGTTTAGTAAAGACAACATGTTAAAATGAAGATAATAAATGCAAACATTTACCTATCGTCACAGAAAAATTCCAGAGTCAAGGAGACATTAAGTAAGATATGACGACAGACATTATCAAGTGCATTATTTGTAAATTGCTAATTTCTGACCTGCTTCCGCGATCCCATTTTTGTAGGTTTGAATTTTAAATGTTTGAAATATTTCATGATATATTTTAAAATATATATTCAAACCATTCGAATTTATTGTTAAAACATGATTACCAAAGTTTGAATATAGTATTTAGTAAAAAAAATTATGACAAAAGTCCCTGAACTTTCCGAACAGCCTTCATTTACATATTAATGGCAAAAGAAGATATAGACTGTAAAATCACTTATTTTTGTGGGGTCAAATTGGTACAGCGAAAAATAGTTTAATATTGTGATTGAGGAAGAAACATCTTATGTCGTATGTAATTTAAATATTTCGATGTGGATGCGAATTTTTGGGTGTCTTTTTACCACGGAAATTGTGAAACATAATTGTGATAAAAAGTGAGTAATAATTTAGAAAATATATAACACAGGTTTGAAGGTGTGAAATACGTTCCGACACGTCATATTTCATGAAAAGCGAAAGTGCTTCGTTGTTAAATATACCTCGGTGAAAAGTTCAATAGGGCAGACTCATACTACATCCTCTAGAACTTTCAAAACTGAAATTTATTACTAATATTTATTTCTTTCCTCGTCTGTTGTAATTCATGGGGATGTGGTCTTAATTTTTTCTAGGGAATTTAGTAAGAAATGAAATATGTGAAGATAACGAACAGTATTCGAGCTCAAAAGTCAATTAAACATTAGAAAATAGGAGCAGAGCAAACACGGACCTCTAAGACATCAGAGGTGGGATCAGGTGCCATGGAGGAGTGAGCATCCCTTGCCGACCGGTCACACCCGCCGTGTGCTCCTTTTCATGACCGGGAAATAACGGAAAAATCCGTCGACAATTCAGTGTGTAAATAATGGCCTAACAATTAGTATGAAAAAAGTCAGTCAGCATTTGACTTAGTGAAAGATTGTATTTGCTGGCAATTCATTGTATCGACCATAGAACTTACGAAATGATGACTTTAAACAAGACTGCTGATATTCTTGTTTCATCAACTTGTTTTTCAGTAACTTACCTTGTTTTAGAAACTGTTCATACGTAGAGCATGCTCTAGCGTATCGAATCAACTGAGAGATATAAACCCCATATGAAGGCGATAAGGGTATATTGCTGCATAAGTAAAGGAATTTGACAATTGAAAAGTTAAAGTCATCACGTTTATCCTAAAGCTTTGTTGTTAGATTACCATTAACGTCTTTTTCTAATAAAATATCCAAATATGAAACAGATGTGTCAGACACTGTGGTATCTTTTATCTCAAGCTCACCGGGATATATCATGTCGACATAAGAATGGAAATAACCATTGTTAATTGAAAATACGCCGTCGATATATCTAAATGTTGAGTTGAAGGCCACAGCAGTGTTTTCTACTTTTTACATATGAGATTTTGAATAAATTCTGCTTCATATGAATACAAAAATAGGTTTGCTAATAGGGGCGCAATTGGTAGCCATGGGAATTCCAATAGATTGTTGGAAGACCTGGTCTCCAAAAACCACATATATATTGTCAATCAAAAACTCGAGCATCTTTTTAATGTCAACTTCAGAGTACATGTGTGTACAATCAGATTGTTTTTTAACAAAGTATTTTTGCAAATGACCAGTGACAAGGTAAGTTAATTTACGAGTTCCATTTTTATTGAAAAAGCAGTTGTCAACGATGTCAGAAAGTCTGGACTTTAATTTATCGTGGGAAATAATTGTATATAAAGTTGAAAAGTTCTTATGTTGTTGATTTTGGTAAAAATTTGTGATTTCAAATGTTCCAAAAGTTCCTTGGAATTTTTTAGTATCCACATCTGATTTACACCACTTCTCGAATATATTGTTGCAAAGTACTCTTGAAATTTCTCCTTCACTACTGTTAATATCTTAGTGAGGAGTAAAGAAAGAAGCTTGGTAGAACATTTACTGGAACCCGCTATATATCTTTGTTTGTAAGGATTTTTATGATGTTTGGGAATCCAATATAGATATGGTAATTCAAATTCATTTCGGTTGTTGGGAATATTAAAAATATTCAAAACTGACATATGATTTTGAAGAATTTCCTCCTTAGAGAGGGAGCTATGGGTATAAGTTGGATTACCACTTGAAGAATTAAATCCCAGTTCCTCCAAAATACAATTCATATAATGAGCCTTACAAACAAAGACAATGTTATGTTATTACCTGCTTTGTCAGCAGGGCCGAGAACGTACGAGTACTGATCGTGTAATCTATCTAATTCTTTTTTCACTTCTGAATTATTGAATACAGAAGGATAGATGGTTTCATACTGCCCCTCAATCGTTTAATGCGAGATTTTAACATATATCTGATACATTTAATCCATCAAATGTTATGTTGATATAATCTAACTAAGGAGTTTAGAATACACTTGCTCTAAAATGATACATTTATTTACCATAGAGCTTTACAAGTAGTAACGATATACTGGGTATGAAATTTGGACCAAAATACATTCGTTTCACAGATGTTCCGAGCCCCCAGGTTAATGAAGTTTTAATGCTTCAAATTCTGTTTATTAATATATCATAGTAGTATTCATAACATACACAGGTTGTTGTGAATGTTCTATTCTCTATAGTATCGCTAAGTACAAAGGGGGGGGGGGGGTACAAAATGTTTCATATGGTTTAATTCAGTAATCAATTAAGTTTTACATACATGTATTAAAGTCTCGTTTTCATCTTTTGCATGATTAAATAATCGTCTTTGTAAATATATGCATTATTAACCTAAAAATATCTTTCTTCCACAGAACATACCAGGAAAGTAATTACCTGATGTCAATAAAATTGATTACGCATTGCTCCTAGTTTAAAACATCATATTGCTGATATTGCCACATATACTTGTTATATTATTATTATATAAGTATCAACTACGGCTGTCAATAAAGGGAATATCCTTTATTCTGTTAATATCTTTATATAGAATATACAATTTGACACTTCCGGGGAAGAGATCGGTGAGTAAATAGCTTTACGTAGCTATTACATCGCATATTTTGACTATAAATGTAAACTTATTTCAATTTTGTTATCATTTCATCAATTCATTTACCTTTTAAGGTAAAATGATATTTGATTCTGAAATGTTAAAATAAAAAGCATACGTTTTTTTATGTAACGATTTGTTGTAAATTATTTCTTTTCAGTTATAGACTGCTATAATGAAAAGAGTTATTCTGCTTTTCATTTTATTTAACTGTGATAGAGAATTACAAGGTTTAATTGATGGTGTAAAAATATTCTCAAAGAAAGGTAAGAATTGACACGAATACACAGATAAAGTTCACTGATATTTAAAAACCCCCTCTTCTTGCATCACATTCTTCCATCTAAAGAATAAAGCATTTCCACTCAAAGGAAAATCAATAAACTATGACATTATACTCCCAAAATAATTAAGCCCCCTGACTTTTTTTTGTACATTTACACTTTTTTAATCGAATTATTTCAATATGTTTATTGAGAAAGAAATTCTCCATATCCCAGACTGTAGACTTAATCAAATCTTGCATCTCACTTTTGAAACATTAAGCTTCTCTTAGCCGTGGGAACCGGGGGGGGGGGGGGCACGGGGGCGTCTCCCCAATAATTTTGCCGATATATGGAATACTATACAAAACATTGCTAGTATATGCTTGTACCCCCTCAGTAATAATGTCTGATGATCCTTTTTTTGCTTGTCAAAGAATTTTGGTAGTTGATAGTGCCCCCAAAATGAAAATGTATGGTTGTGCCCCCTCCAACTGAAATTGCTTCCTAAGGGCCTGCTTCTATTTAGTACGATTCAAGAGAATTTAAAAGTATGGATCACGTTTGTGCTTACGTGTAAAAACACTGCCAAACTTCTTATAATCAATTTTTTCAATGAATTGGAAATGCATCTAGATGTATATAAATAAAAAGAATACTAAACTTGCTCTGTTTCAGATTATAAAATCAAAATTGCAAGTCAATTAAAACCCCTCAAGAGTATGAATATTAAAGAAAAACCGTAAGTGTATATAAAGTTTTATTTCGATTTGGCCATCAGCATCAAATTTTGACATTTTTTACGTATTACAATTGCTGCACTATTCCTTTATTTACCTTGTGTTACTATTTCTCCAGTTCTGAAGACAAGAAGGAACCATTTATTGATAAAACTAATCAAAAGATAGACAAAACAAAGATAATAAATACTCTAGCTGGATGCACTTCTTTTGATACTTGTATTTAATAAATATTTAAATATTTCTCAGCCATCGCTTTGTTGTCTCTCAATGACCGAAAGATTGATAAATAATATAACGCACTTTGAATAAAAAAAAATAACAGGACATATCTAATGAATACCGGTTACTATATACACGCTCACATGCCTCTATCAAAATTGTGAAAATCATGGCCCAAGGATCAATCTTAAGGATTATGGCGTTAGGGTGGGGCTGAATTGGTTATATTGTAAGTACATAATTATGAGGAAAAAGGATGCCTCTTCCAAAATTGTGATAATCATGGCCCTTTGTTCAGAGGTTCTGGTGTTGGGCGGGGCTCTATTGATTATGTAGTGAAAATGCATAAATTATTTGAAAATGAAATCTTTTTCTCTGCCCCTAGATATATAGAAAAGAAAGAAAGTGCATGGTTATGTTGAGAAAGAATACTTTTTTCTGAAATTACGCATTTTATTGGCCCAGGGTCAGGGGTGTACGTCTTGGGGTTTGTTTTGATAGTATAGTGAAAATGCATAATTTCTCTAAAAATCTCCTACTCTGCTTCTGGGTATTTAGCAGATAAACTGATTATCATAAGCAAGTATGACTCTTTCAAAATTGTGAAATTCATGCCCAGGGTCAGGGGTTTTGGTGTTAGGGCGGAGCTCCATTGGTTATGTAGTGAGAATGCATAAATTCTTTCAAAATCTTAGTTGTAAAGAGCAAGGGTTTTGTTTTACCAGATTTGTGAAATTCTTGACCACTGGGTCAAATTTTCTAGTGTTGTGCAGGTGCTGGGTTCCATTAATAATATGCAGGGAAATTTGTACTCTACTGAGAGAACTTATTCCTTTTTGCTATTTTCTTACGATAATTAGTTACACTAAATAATGTAACTGATAGGTCAAATTGAGAAAAGAAATAAACAAGAAGTTTAATATATAATACAAAGGTACTATCATAGTTTTAAATGGTCAGATAGACTTGTAAATAATAGATATATAAAAATGAGACAAAAATACTCTTCAAAGGCCAAGAGAAGCCAGTGTGTGATGGAATGAGTAGGGTTTGCTACAACCACTATTGAATAGTTTAGTCTGCGTGATGACAGTGACAGAAAGAAATGTATAAGTACTGGCAAGTAAATATATCTACTCAATAATTTATCACTGAGAACAAGACTACATTGTAACTAGTTTTTGATCCCTGATTATCCTTTTTCTCTTGCTTTGGGGCAACATATCTTCATCTCTCAGCTTATTTTGTTTTATTTCATACTTTGATATCAGTGGATCTTTTACACTGTTGTATTATACTCAGGTGACCGGTAAGGCCCTTAGACCTCTGGTTAACAATAGAAATTAATCACAACATTCTGGATACATTATTACGACAAAAATGTATTTGTTTCACAGGTGTTCCGAGTCCCTAGGTTGCTGAAGTTTTAATGTTTCAAACTATGTTTAATAATTTATCATTTTCGTATTCAAGGCATACACAGGTTGTTGTAACACAATTTTATACAATATTGCTTAATAGAAAATTCATTCCTTCGTTTAAATCTGATTCACCTTTACAAAATGTACGGCTACGCGAATATTTATTATGATTGATATTAGTTTATCTCTGAGTAGTCATCTGCTTTATTAACCTAATATTACCTTTCTTGCACGGAAAATAGCAAACAAAAATTATACATTAGGCCTAGTTAGTTTTAATTGATTATGCATTGTTTCTAGTTATACAATATGTACATTGCAGAGAGGATCTGTCATATTTGATTATAAATGAGTTGTTCTTATCCCCATTTTTACAAGAATTAGTGGTGAATGAAGGGAATGCCAAGAAATTCGTTAATACCTTAAAATAAAATAAACAACACGACACTTCCGGTAAGGTTTTCCGGTGAGTAAAATACATCAATAAGTTATTGCATAATTACTTTAATGCTAGGGATTATAAATGCAATTCAGTATTTCAATTTTCTAATTGTTTCATCAATTCATAACCCTTAACAGGTAAATTTATGAATCTTGCTTGTTTTCTTTATATACGATTTAATCATATTTCTTTCTTTCTAAAGCTTTTTTAAAACATTTCTTTTTAGATCTAGACTGGGACGATGAAGAACATAATAATTCTTATTTTCATTATCTTAAACTTTGTGACTGAATTACATTGTTTAACTGATGGTGTTGAGAAAGTCGTGAAAAAAGGTAAGAGGTATCATAAATATACAGATAAAGTTCAATGTGTATTTATAAATTCACTTGTTTTGAATCAAAATCGTCCAAGTGAAGCATTTCCCAGAATTTTATCGGTAAACTGATGTTATAAAACCTACAATCTAATCCCCTATGTTAATGTTGGAAAGTATACTTACACTATTGAGAATGTTCAGTGGATTTGAAATTCATGTAGATGTTTGTAGGTATAAACAAGAATACTAACTTTGATTTGTCATGTTTCAGGTCATACATTCAAATCGATCCCTAATCTACAATCAACAACCCCCACAAATAAGGACATTATAGAAAATCCGTAAGTTAATACTTATTATTTTGGCTGTCAGTTTGAGATTTATTTTAATGTTACACTCTCTGTATTATTGTTTTATTTTTTTCTAATTAACAATTTTAAATCCTTTATACTCTTTTCCAGTTCTGAAGATAACAACAGACCCTTAATTGGTAAAACTAAACTAACGATACACGTGAATAGGAAAACGAAAAAGATAAAACCTCTTTTGGGATGTGTATCTCTGGATACTTGTTTTTAATAAATATTTAGCTATTTCTCCTCCATTTGTTTTATCTCAAATAATAAAAAATATGCTATTTATTTATCTCAAATAATAAAAAATATTATATTTAGTGGCTGTTGGTTAAAGTATCAAAGTATTTATCTCTTTTGAATAACAAAACATAATTATAAAAATTAAAAAAAAACAGTTGCATGTAATCGTCTTTATATGGGTGACGTAGATATGATTGTTATATTCTCAAAATAGTAACAGTCTATTCTTTTTTAAGAATATGTTCATTTTTAACGGGACATTCCATGTCAACTTTTGTCCGCCCTTGTAAAGCAACTGATACTGAAACGAATTAAAATTGAAAACGTATGTTATATCATGTGTATGTTATCATATATATATATATATATATATATATATATATATATATATATATATATATATATATATATATATATATATATATATATATATATATATATATATATATATGGGCAAAAAAGTATACACAAAGGTATCTTTGTTTGTTTTCAAATATAGATGATTCATTAAATACTTACCGAAATTCAAGTTCTTGTTGCAAATTATTATAAGTTACCTCTTTTATCAGGCTTATATCAGTAGTTTTACATTTAGAATGTAAATTCCAATTCATTGCGTAATTACCTTTATAATTAATCGTTTTAATTCTCTTTGAGGCCGAGAAAGACACAAATTATATTCAGAATGAAGAAATGCAAATGAATTCATGAATGCAAAATATGTTTATGTGAAACAGACATATCTGCTTCGACTATATTACTTAAACATAAGTATATCAATATAGCGAGAGAAAATTAATATCATTGAATGTTTTATTTTAACCACAATGTAACAAACGTAACAAACGAAAATACATAGGACTTGATAATTGTCCTTAGTATAAAGCTGATAATATAGGTCATCGGTTAATTTAGTTAAATATTAATCTACAAAATTATTTCCATGACATTGTTATGAAGAAAATTACGACCAGTCTAAAATATCTCGAAATTCATTTCTGCGCAAAAAATACTATCAATATTTGATTGTTCTAGTTGTTATTCAGTAGGGCCTCAAATTTGCATAATTAACTCAAAATACTTTCAATAGTCAAGACAATGAAACATTCACCTATTCTTATCTTTAGGCATTGACTATCTCTTGCAAAATAAATAAGATATATATTGTTGTACCTTTATCAACACTTTCTAGCAGAAATTGAGTACAAATATTGAGCTTCGTTTCACATTCATTGATTGATGGAATGTCCCAATGAATGTTTATTCCTAAAAACATTTCACTTTACCTGTCAGTGGCCTTTTCCACAAAACATCTTACGACTAAGACAAAAATTTTCCCATTCCTCAACAAGTATCTAACCTGTAGTAGGACATCTTATATTTCTATTACATTAAGTCACTCAGTAAAATATCTAAGAAAAAAATAAATATATTTGTTAAACAAAAAAATTACAATTTTCATCTTAGTCATAAGATTTTTTGTGAAAAGGACCACGGGATTGCAATGAGTAATAAGCATATATTTATACTTAACAAACTTTAATTAATAAGGCAAGATGTATGTTTTTCAATTTTGTTTTTAGTGTTGGTTTATTCTGGTAAATAATTATATCTTTCCAAAAACGAAGAAACATACCATGTAAATCATATACGGTACCAATTTTGATGCACCGGATGCGCATTTCGACAAATTATGTCTCTTCAGTGATGCTCAAGCCGAAACGTTGGAAATCGAAAAATAATTAAATAAAAAAGGCTTTGGAGAACTGAAAAAAGGTGCCAAAGACTAGGTATCCTTAAAATTGAATAGTTTTGCATTATATTCTTTACCTCGCCTCAGGTCCATCTGATACCTTCAATGAACAGAATCGTATTGATTTTTATCTTTTTTTATCTGAGTATAGTCAGTCTTTTGCCCAATTCACGATTCGTATTTACCGGATTTATGAGATTGTTAACATTTCGTTATCTTCACCCTTGACAAACATAGAATGTTTCTAAAACGAGACAGGCTACTGACAAATTAGTCGAGGACATAAGAATATCAACAATCTTGTTTAAAGGCAACATGCATATTCTATGGTCGATTTAAATGAATTTGTCTAAAATGAAATATGTTGAGATAACGAACAGTATTCGAGCTCAAAAGTCCATTAAACATTACAAAACAGGAGCAGAGCAAACACGGACCTCTAAGAAATCAGAGGTGGGATCAGGTGCCATGGAGGAGTGAGCATTCCCTGCCCACCATCTTTAAGTCGAACGTTGATAAACGTCTCTCATACGCATCTTAGGCCATTATTTTACAGTGAATTGTCTACGGATTTTTTTTTCGTTTACTGGATCATGACAAGGCACACATAGGCGAGGTTCAACTTATATGTCATTGACGGGGGTGACCTGCCGGGAGAGGAGGGCAAATCATCCATGAAACCTTATCCCACCTCTGTTTTCAGAGATTTGTGTTTTGCTGTGCTCACAATTTGTATTGTCTGCTTGGACTTTTTATCATAATTACTGTTCAGTATATTTAAATTCCATCTGTTGTTTTATTTAATAATTCCTTTATATTTTTCAATACTTTTGAAAAAATTGTAAGATTGAACATGAATAAGCAGAAACATCGTTCTCTGAAGACTGAATATTTACTTTTTGTACCTAATTCGGCCAAATAAATATATATAATCTAGGTTGATACATTTGCTTAAAACAGAATACTTAAAAGTAAGTTTTTTTGCAAATTCTACGGTCGTAATAATGACTGTGTTTACAAATACAGTCTTTGGTTCGTATTTTGTCTGATATGTTTCATACCGATAGTTAAGTCATTGTTTTTATACTAAATTTGACTATGGATCACTCCGTCTACCTTATCTACACATAGGGCTGGCAGCACGGGATGTTTACTCCTGCTAAGCGCTTGGTCCCACCTTTGGTATTTCCAGATTTCTGTCTGTGCTCTGTTCAAGATTCTATTCTTTACTGGGCTTTTTAAAATTTATCACTGTTCCTTATCCTCACCTTTTTGTACATTATGACGGATGCCAGTAAGAAAATTAGAGATAAACCGTTCGTAAACATCTCTCAGACTGACAACTTTACGAAAGTTTATCAAGCATTTTTGTAATCTTTTAGTTAAATCTAATTTCCTGTTATAAAGACACTAGCCAATTAACCATCGGAGTGGTCTGATCAAAGATGAAAGAAGCTTGAGAACAGGAACAATGATAAATCTCAAATGCAAATAGAGGTCATATAAAAAACAAAAAAAAAAACAAAAAAAAACAAAAAAAAAAACTGAAACACCAGCGATGAGATCAGGTCCTAAGAAGAAATAAACATTTTACTGTCGACCGGGCCACAACATTTCACACTGTTTCAATCGGGAAAATGGAGTATATAGTACTCAAAATTATTAAGAAAGCAACGGTCTAAAAATTGTTGAAATATAACGGCCATAGAATCAACGAAATTCTGACATTAAACGAGGATCTACTTTTATATCATTAGCCTGCCTTGGTTTAAAAAGCATTTCCTTCTCTACTTTCTTATCTTATGTATCTACTAAATTATTTTGTTTTGAGTAAGGTGTTAAAGAATTATACAATAATGCTTTATGTATACTACAAAACGTACTTTCGTAGTTTTTATCAAATAAATACTATCGGATCTAAAATCGAGGACAACAAAATGAAAACCTTCTTAGAATGTCTAAAAGACGTGAAGAGTATCCTTATTAAAATGAATTTAATTGATTATTGAATGAATGTCCGATAGAAGTAGTCTGTAATTAATATTGTAAAGGGCTCAATTTCAGAATAAATGTGTAAATTACTTGATTATATCGTGTTGTACATAATCCTGAATTTTATATTCATTATCGGGAAATTAGTTAATTACCTAGGAAAATTGTCTATGGAAATATTTGTTTATATTTTAAAAAGTAACACTGTATCAAAGATTATAATCATATCTCTTATTAGGCTGATAATTGTAATGAATTACTCGTATTGAAATCTGAACAGTATACGACTATCTTGCCTGGTTCCCCAGTTGGAGCTACTATAAATACACATGTATCATTTGTTAGATTAATACTTTTCTACATTTAAATCAATTATTTATTTCAAACATTCACAAATATCAGATGGAATTCCTAATTGTACACCTACAAAAGACTTCATACAATTTTACTTCCAATATAAGTATATCTACGCTAAACTTTCCATGAGAGTAGGATCATTGAATATTCGAATATGAATTATTGAAAAAATTGACATTCCTAGATTAGATGTGTTTATTTTTTTAAGCACACAAGTGTTTAAATTCTAAACACTTTCTCGTACATGTTTAGAAATTTGACATATTTAGGAGTTAAACATGTAAAAAAAAAAAAAAAAAAGGAGTTGACAACAAAGTGTATAGAAAAGTGTTTCGATTCTAAAAACATTTTTTACAGTCTATTCGAGTTATCCATGAAATTACGTCCCATTCAATCAGTTAAAGTATGGTTACCCCCGAGCTTTGACCCCAACTTCTTCAAGTCCTTCTTCATTATTTTTATTGCATTTTTTTTTTTGCATTCTTGTTATTATTCAGACCCACAAAAAAGAACGTACGCTGCATTGACAAACATTCATTCAAGGGGAGAAAACTCTTACAGTGTTATTAAACCAATCCTTGAGACTTTATTTTGATACATTTATATAAAGAGGCAAGAAAAATAATGGATATTAATTTAGCCAGTTTATTGGAACCTCAGTATTTTTGAATTATTTGACGAAACATCCCTACGTTGATATCCCAGTGAAGTCGAAATAAAAGGCACCACAGAGTCTGATACATCTGTTTCTTATTTTGATGTTTTATTAGAGAAAAACACTGATGGCGAATTATCAACTAAACTTTATGATAAACGTGATGACTTTATTTTTTTCTATTGTCAACTTCCTTTACTTATGTTGC